AAACATTGTAACATACAAGATTGTAACATATCAGATCAGACCATTAAACCATAAAGACCGATATAGGTTGAAGCCAACTTTGTGGCAACTTTGTGGCATCAGGGAATCCTTTCCCTAAGCATATGATTACTTGCACAGCTATTTGCTATACAATCCCAGGATGAAACAAGCTAATTTTCGAATGCTGTTATTAAATGGACAATTTAGATAAGATAGTGGCCTGCAGTTGGGCTTCCTCATTAGTTCATCAAGACATCCTGTCTTCTGCTGTAGTTGGACCCAGCTTGGGAAATCTGGAAATAGCTGCCATGCTATTTTCTCAGGACAGTTAGAGCACAATTTACAGGAATGCTCTATTGCAGTAGACGGCCCTAGACTTCATTCTATTTGCTAGATATGATGTCTGTTATTCTGTTCTAAGAAAGGCAAATTCTTGCCTAACTTTCCATATGTATCTCCTCTTAAGTTATTGTTCTGTGAACACAGATAACCTGGTGAATGAATTATTGGAACATAGAACCAGAGGATCGTCTGGAAAGCCACTGGTCTGCTTTCAAAGTCTTAAATAAGTCTTTCCTAAAGTTTCTGTGAACTGGAAATGTCAGTGATTAAAACAGAGACCTTTTGCATTCCCCCAAAGTATGGTCTACTGAGCTGTGAAAATTATGTAAAAAGATGCCCTCTAGACATATTTGTCCACAACTTCCATAATTCCTAGCGAAGACAGCAAAAAATATCTTCAGGCAAAAGGCAAAATGTGGAGATCATTTCTGGAGATAAATTCCCTTGTCCCGATCCTTTGTCGTTTACCACCCCCCCTCCTTTCTCTGCTTAAACTGCAAAGAAACATTTAAGTAAGTCTTTGCACACTTGTATCTACATTGCTTAAGAAACCTATTGATTAAATCATTTGCAGTTGACTTTTTAAAAACCCTGTATTAAATATATTTCAGTCAGAAACATTTCAGTTTTTGAGTCTGCATTAATATATTTCCATGTTTAAGACTGCAAAGGGGAAATAGTATTCATGTATAAAAGGTCTTCAATTCCTTAACATTTATTTTTTTCTCTAGGTCTCCTTTCACCTGGTTTGGTTGAAATATACTCATTTATACCGAATGAAATCACACACGAGAACTTTTCGTTCATCTGAACAGACTGATATCTCATTAAATGTTCTCAAAACCAGTTTGTGGCCTTCACCTACAAATTTTCTGTGATACCATCATGCTTTTGCTACTACTTAAATTGTTTGCTAGGGGCTGACACAATATTAATTGTGGCTTCGTTACTACTGGCCAATAGGTAGAAAAAATAGTTTTTCTAAGTGCCAGAATCCTCCAGAAAGCCATTTTGCAATCTGGGGGGGGGGGGGAATGGTTTGCCACCCACTCTAGTTTCTACAAAGACAAGGGTGGCTCACGATGAAGTGGAGTGAATGTGAATACAGGAAAGACTTGGTGAGCACATTGCTTTAATGCCAAAAAACAAACAAACCAAGAACATTACAACCAAAGAAGAGGAAAAACCCCTAAGAGCATTGAAAAATAGTTCCATAAGAAGCAAACCTAGCACTGTTGTCAGGAGAAAAATAATGCAAAATTAATCTGGAAACAATGACTGGGTGAGGTCAATTCAGCTTCGTAAAGAAAACAGACACTTCGCCTTCTGTCAAAAAAAGGACCAGAAAAAAAATGGAAGAGGTCAGATAGTCTCCCCCACCCCCATCCCATCTTTGCAATATTTGTCCATCCAATGCTGTCCTTCACCTCATAGGTTTCAACCTTAACATCTGTTTTGCCGGCATAGGATTATAAACAGCCAGCCCCTTTTCTTAACTATGCAAAGGTTTCTGCCCTTTCTCTCTCTTTTATAACTTCAAAATAGGGATTTTAGATTTTGGAATATGGTATACCTATGGACTTTAACTGGTCAATTTTCCTGGGAGCTTGACGGCCCACAGATAAGTGATAGATGTCCCCAAATATCCTTCATACAGCAAGTGAAAACACAGCAGTGCATGTATGGGCACCTTAAGGAAGTCAAAGGGAAGCAAAAGCTAAAATGGAAACCATAACTTAAGTATGAACCTGGGACATGAAAGGTATTCTGATCTTGTAACATACTTTATTATCATTATTATTATTTTAAACCACCTAGAGTCACTTAGGTGAGCTGGGCGGCGTAGAAATGTGATAAAATTTTAAACGTTCACATCATTTTTCATGATCATCTAGAGTGAAACCAGAGTGAAACCTAGGCTTATTCAGACATGCTGAATGTGCTTTGTTGAATTGGAGCTCTTTGGATGAATGTGTCGACTATGAAACTGAGATCAGTCACTTGTGAAATCTATTTATGCCCACAGGGAAGAGGCCTGCGTTTGACTGTCCAGCTTGCCCATGCTTGACTGCAGAAAGGTCTTTGTGCTACAGAGGCAAGCGAATGACCCTTCTGATGTACGAAATGTTACAGGAATGATTAGGGCTATTTTTACCAACTCTGCCAATTCGGGCAGTGAATTTTCTCCCTCCAGTGCATACCCTACACTAGAAGTACTAGCAGCTGTCTGTTGCTCAGTAACAGTTCAAGACACAGCCCTTGAGTCAACCGCAACCCAGGATTACTCTTCTGTTTTCTTTCTGGAAACCATTCAATAAATAGATAGATTTTTTTTCCTAAACTGCAAGTTGCTCAATTTTGGCTGAACTAGATCAGGTCATCAGTTTGTTGAGGAGAGGCAGACTGAGCACCCAGACAGTGGCAGTAGAGAGGCAGAAAAGATACTTGCTCAAGTCCCTCACTTCTTCCCTCTCTATAGTGCCCCCTGGTGGGGAGGCTGGTTCTGACTATGCCTTGATAGGATCAAGAATTCTGTGTACTCGGTATTTTGAGCCACAGTAGAGACTTTTCTTTCTTGTAATCAGGGCTTCCCTACTTATCATAGGAGTGTGGAGACACCAATTGATTTGGCAGCCCAGCCCAGAGGATTCCATGGAGTCCAAGAGGACAAATGTATCTCATGTCAAACAATAAGAAATCCATCCACATATATAATTCATTAATACAAGATCTGATTATGATTTCTAGATCAGTGATCTAAAACAGTGCTTTTCAACCCAGGGAACACGTGCCACTGGTGGTACTTTGGCATCTCGCAGGGGGTACTCGTGCGAAGGGTTGAAAAGCACTCTTTAAAAAAAAGTATTAAAAAAGTGTAAAAGTGTAGCGGGGGAATGAGTCAAAGCGGTGGCAGCACCGCACAGGCCCGTGGGAGAGTCAGCTGGAGCTGCAATGTTGCCGAGGCTCTGCTGAGCACCCAGGATTGGCGCAGGGCTCCAGCTGATTGGCGCTTCCAGGAGCAGTGCACAGCCCTGGGGAGAGGAGTCTGCTGGAGCTGCACCGAGGAGAAACGGAAGAGGGGGGGAGGGAGAAGAGGATATAAAAGGAGGAGGTTTTGGCAGGAAAGGGAGAGGAAAAAAAGACAACGGGGAAAGAGAAAGGGATAGAAAAAGAGAGACAGAAAGAGGAGAGGCTCCTTTGAGACAATCAGAAGGAGAGAAGGGGATTGGGTGTACAGATAGTCCTCAACCTACAACCACAACTGAGCCCAAAATTTATGTTGCTAAGTGAGAAATTAGTTAAAAGAGTTTTGTCCCATTTTATGATTTTTCTTGCCACATTCGTTAAGTGAATCACTGAAGTTGTTAAATTAGTAGCACAGTTCTTAAGTGAATCTGGTTTCCCCATTGACTGTGCTTGTCAGAAGGTTGCAAAAGGGGATCACATGACCCCAAAACATTGCGACCATCATAAATACGAATCAGTTGCAAAGCATCCGAATGTAAATCACGTGACCCTGGGGATGCTGCAATGGTCATAAGTGTGAAAAATGGTCACATAACTCACTTTTTTCAGTGCTGTTGTACCTTCAGTCACTAAGCGAACTGTTGTAAGTCAAGGACTACCTGTACCTTATCACTTTTTTCCTTTCTTTTTGGTCAAGTTTTTGACACCCTGCTAGGCGACTGGTGATACTCAAATATTGTCATATCCTAAAAGTGGTACGATTGGTGAAAAGGTTGAAAAGCCCTGATCTAAAAGGCATTACATACATTTAGCAGGACACCTCTAGATGCAGCCTCCAAGTTCAGAAGCACTGTACCTCAGTCTATACACTCTGTGGTAATAAATATGCTTCTTTATGTATGTTTATATTCACAAATATTCAACCAATTTTAGAGAGGTAGAATTTAAAATGGATGGTATAGAACAGGGGTAGTCAATCTTGGCTCTTTTATGACTCGTGGACTTCAACTCCCAGAATTCCTGAGCCAGCTAAGCTAAGCTGGCTCAGCTAAGCTGGCTTAGCTAAGCTAAACTGGCTCAGGAATTCTGGGAATTGAAGTCCACGAGTCATAAAAGAGCCAAGGTTGACTACCCCGGTATAGAATTTTCAGCAGAATCTTATGATTTGACTTCCGTTCATTTGTGATAAAGACAGCCCACCAATCCTCAATAATATGTACATCTATCCAGTCTGGCAGTTATTTTTTTCCCCATTTCCCACTTGTTTAACTTACAGATCACATGAAACCTAGTATTTTCTTCTTTTGCACTACTTTAGAAACAATAACTTTAGCTTTTGTTTATGGCATTAAACCTTTTTGGAACAATTACATTAAGGCTTCTAGAAGCATTCATGGAGGAACCTGTAAATCTTATACAGCTGACTTCTATGGATATAAAACTAGGATTTCCAGTAAAAGATGTCTGCTTTATTGGTCCTGATCTGAAATCAAAGGTATGTACCCTGAAAAATGAAAATTCAATGAATCTAAGCATGAACCTGGTGCTTTTGTTTCATTAGAATGAGATAACATTTCCCCATTAAACCATTAAGCTTTTTTTTATGAATGTATGAACGCATTTGTTGATCCATATTCCCACCACAAGGAATAAAGGACACTGATTCTTGATTAGAATTACAGAATTATTCTTCAAGGACTTGGTAACTCTTCATTTTCTACTAGATAATCTTTCTTTGCATAATTGGCTCCCCTAATTAACCTCCATATTCCAAGATAGGCATTCTTTAGTGAGTTTCTGTTAAGTTCTTCAGTGCTACCATCTACGGGAACAGCAGTAGCATTTCCTTCTTCTCCAGTGCTGCCCGTCTCTTCTGCGCTATGCTGTTTCTTTTCATCTGCTGACTCCTCTATTATTGGGTCTCCAGATTCTGCCTCCTTAGGCATCTCCTCCATTGAAAAGGGTGGTTGGTCTCCATCATAGTCTTTCTTCTCTTCTTCTCTAAGTTCCTCTTCCAGATCTTCATAATTACTCTGTTTTCTTGTCTCAATAAACTTCACCACACAATACGTGATGGATCCTACCGTGTTTACCACCACACCTGCTATAAACAGCTTCGTTGGCTCCACATCATTGAAGGCTACCATACCAACCGTGATGGTTGCAATGCTCTTCACAACGCCAACAAAACTAGTGGTGACAGCTGAGTTAATGTAAGTGCAATGAAGGGTGGTAAAATTCATGGCACAGCCCAATAAGACACAGGCAAAAAAGATGAATGTCATGAGGGGATCTTTCCATCCTGGGAACGACCAGATATTGATAGCTTCCATGCTGACAAAGGTGAATAAGATGAGAAAAGGTGTGGCTGAAACCGCAATGGCATACTGGGCTGTCAGAGGCCCGTAGTCACTATCTGCACTCATCTTTTGAATCACAACCAAATATCCTGCATGTACCAACACAGCCAGAACTCCAGTCACATACCCAATGGGATCACCAGTCAGATCACCAGCACCTGCCAATTTTGAAAGAAAGAGAGAGAGAATTTACATACCCTTGAAATATACGTTGTCACTGTTATATGAACTACATCAATAGTTTAATGAAGAGAAGGACGAGGGGGGACATGATAGCAGTATTCCAATATCTCAGGGGCTACCACAAAGAAGAGGGAGTCAAGCTATTTTCCAAGGTGCCTGAAGGCAGGACAAGAAGCAACGGATGGAAACTAATCAAGGAGAGAAGCAACCTAGAACTCAGGAGAAACTTCCTGACAGTGAGAACAATTAACCAGTGGAACAACCTGCCTCCAGAAGCGGTGAATGCGCCAACACTGGAAGTTTTTAAGAAGAAACTGGACAGCCATTTGTCCGAAATGGTATAGGATTTCCTGCCTGAGCAGGAGGTTGGACTAGATGACCTCTGAGGTCCCTTCCAACTTTATTATTATTATTATTATTATTATTATTATTATTATTATTATTATTATTATTATTATTATTATTATTATTATTATTATTATTATTATTATTATTATTATTATTATAAGATGGGCTATGTATTGGCGACAAGCATTTTAGGATACATGGAATAAATTGCTAAGAAGAGCTATCATCAATTTACTTGGGAACTGCTTGTAAATAATTGTATCTGGCCAATGTTGGAAAAAAAGTTGAACTAGGAAAGTTTTGAACAAATCTGATAAGGGAAGCCTTACATTCCTGAATTGATTTATTTATCTAGTTTCAGGAAAGACAGTAAAACTTTATTTTGGTGATTACAGTTCCAAACATTCTTAGTCAACGTAGCCACTGCAAAAAGACCAGTGATAATGGAAATGTTTGTTGAAAAGATTTATAGGATAACAAAACCATCTAATCTAATTCTATTTACTGACAACCATTCATCATCTACCGATAAACTGAAATAAGGTATAGCATGAGTAAAGAGAATCCAAAATGAACAACTCTCTTACACACCTGTCAGCACTAGATTGGTTCAAACTCAAAAACGAATAGATGAGCACCATCATCAATTATAGAAACCAGATTTTGAAACTGAGTCCATTCTTACACAGATAATTTAATCTTGCAGAGCTAATAACAATTAGGATTTATTTTGAGTGGTAAACTATGTATGGTTTAAGAATGTTAGATGGAGGCGCAGCAGTGACTGCCTGGATTAGGGTTAGTATTGTGGGTATTAATTTTTTTGCATTTTACCTTAGTCCAGGGGTCTTCAAACTTGGCCCTTTTATGACTTGTGGACTTCAACTCCCAGAATTCCTTAGCCAGCGTGCCTGGCTGAGGAATTCTGGGAGTTGAAGTCCACAAGTCATAAAAAGGCCAAGTTTGAAGAACCCTGCCTTAGTCCAACTTTTGGGGATAATATTCTTAAAGTATTGTTGGAAGCCCAGAATCAGGCAAAGCTTGTCTGTACAAATTTCACAAGTATTGCTTAAGATCGTCTTTAATTAATTTTACTGTTCCAATGATTTGCAGGAAAATTCAACATAGGAGTGTCTGCACAATGAGGATTATTTTTTCTCTCTGGTGATGTTATCCAATGGAAGAAAATACTGGGAAATTCAGGTCAGATAAAGGGGAGAATTTCATCAACTTTCCAAAGTTAAACTACAATAAGATATAAAGATGATTCTCTCTCTTTTTGGGGGGATTAGTCAAATTTAAGACATACAATTTTCTCTGTTGTTCTCAGTCAATAATAACAATAATAATTCAAATCTAAAACTAATCAAACACCATTGCTTTAATATTAAATATTAAAAACAATAGAAAAATTCAGTAAGAGGGAACGGTGTTTTTAAAAAGCTGCTTAAAATCAATTCAAACTAACTATAGAATAACTAAGATAGCTGTAGTCATAATGACTATAAAATGCTTTTCGTATCAGAGGCAGCATTTCTGTATACCAGCTGCTAAGAAATAACAAGAGGGGACTATTGGCCACATGTCCTATTTGTGATGGCCCCAGAAGCAGCTGGTTGGCTACTATGGAAACAGAATTTTGGACTAGATTGGCTCTTTGATCTGATCCAACATGGCTATTATGTTCCTATGACTGTAATTAAGAATTAAAGCATAGGAGTGAGCAGAATTTTCTTGAAGTGGCAAGGTTCCACTCTCTTCATTTGGTAGAATTATCAAACTAGAGAGACAGAATCAAAGTTAGAGGCAAAATCAGGACATTTTTGCAATTGCTGTATGGAAAAAATATATATAAAAAGACAGCATGGATAATCTCAGTAATACAAAGAGATGTTCACAATTGTATCCAGAGACCTATTTCAAATAGTTCTCATTGCTGGATATTTCTATGGAAGCATAGCAGCATATTCGTAGATAACACATACAAAAAAAATATATCCCTAAGCATAAAAAGAGCTTCAAAAATAAAAATGTCTCTTTTGTCTCTTTCTTTTTCTTATTTTTTTTAAAAAATACAAATACATTAAAATAACAACATTTTTTTAGAACAGTTGTGAAAACAATGCCACCGAGAGCATGTAGACTCGATCTTAATATTTACAAAGACCTTGTATCACAAGGCAAAACTCTTGTATCCCCAGTAGAAAATAAATATGAACCCTCTTTTAATAATGATAATAATCACAAGAGGATGTCATTTAGAACTGCATGAACATTTTATTCATTTATATTCAACTCAGACATTTTTTATGTCTACCTGAAAGCAACGGGCCATCAACCCAAGATTTTAACATTACTATATGTCTCAATCCCTCACCCCCCTCACTACAAAAGCACACCAGAAACTCTGGTAACTCAATTACTAGAAGAGGGAGTCAAGCTATTCTCCAAAACACCTGAAGGCAGGACAAGAAGCAACGGATGGAAACTAATCAAGGAGAGAAGCAACCTAGAACTAAGGAGAAACTTTCTGACAGTTAGAACAATTAATCAGTGGAACAACCTGCCTCCAGAAGCGGTGAATGCTCCAACACTGAAAGTCTTTAAGAAGAGACTGGACAGCCATCTGTCCGAAATGGTATAGGGTTTCCTGCCTGAGCAGGGGGTTGGACTAGATGATCTCCAAGGTCCCTTCCAACTTTATTATTATTATTAATTATGATGATGATGATGATGATGAATCATCGCACAGTCAGCCAGATGTTCAGACTGGATTTGGCATTTTGTCTACCTATCGAGTCCTTCCCAAGGACCTGGGATAGGCAGATGTGGATGTTTGATGTTATTACAGTTATTATTATTATTATTATTATTATTATTATTATTATTATTAAACATTTAGAAGTATCCTAGGAAATGGATACTTGAACTCTGCTACCTGCAGGTTTTATCCATGCCTTCCCTGTCCATTTGGTCAAATAGATGGGGTGTGAACAGCTGGATCCATGATGCACTAATATTTTTTGTGGGGAAGGATTAATGCTGCCAGCTTTGAAAAGAGCAATGATCTACAGCAGGGGTCCTCAACCTTGGCAACTTTAAGACTTGTTGACTTCAACTCCCAGAATTCCTCAAGCAGGGACCTCCAAGTTCCCTTCCAACATTATTATTGTTGTTGTTGTTGTTGTTTCCTTCCTCCCTGCCCCCCTTCTATTAAGGTGATGATAATAGACTTTAATTATAGATTATAGAAGCAATGGGACTGCCCAGGAGATCCATGATGCAGCTTTTCACTAGAGGTTTTTTTTTTGCATTCTTGGCAAGAGCTTGTATGTGACGGAAGTTAGGCAGCTAACAGGAGGCTGAAGAAGGGAAAAAGCAAAATTGGGGGAAAAAACCAGCTGGACCACTTCAAGTATCAGCTCTTCTGTACAAAAATAACATCCATGAAGGATAAGAATCACCATAGTCCATAACCACTACTGTTATGTGTGGGAAATATGGAAAAGTATATTTTGTTATGAATTAAAAGTTGTTATACCCACCTGTATACATTTTTGTTTGTTGATAAAGATACCTGTGAGTGCACAGGGGGGAAAAAACATGTGACTGCTTCAGCCTTCATAAGCTGAAGGGTAAATGAGCATTTATCATGGGAGAAAAAGCACACGAGAACCCCACAAACTTTAATCATTGGAAGACAGAGGAAGTGTGCTGTGAGCTGGGGTGGAATCAAAGACAGAAACTAGCACAGCCAAACTAAGGTTAGAAATGGGACAGCTTCACACAGTGCATTATTGCATTTTTAGCCAGGATACATTTAAGGCTATAGAACAGTGGTTCTCAACCTGTGGGTTGGGACCCCATTTGGGGTCGATCGACCATTTCACGGGGGCCGCCAATCAAGGCTGTCCGCCATTTTTTTTGTCCGCCATTTTTTTCCCCTTTTCCGGCGGGTGCCTTACCTCCCTTGGGCTGGGCCAGCTGGTGGTCGGCCTGCTCCGTCTCTGCTGCTTGCCAGCTACGCCTCGGCCGGCGCAGGGGGCGGAACCGCGCATGCGTGGCGCTCCCGGGCAGGGAAAGTCCTTGACTTACGACCGGTTGGGTAGTCCTCGACTTACGACCGGTTTAGTCCTCGACTTATGACCAGTTTAGTCCTCGACTTACGACAGGTTGGGGTCGCGGCATTAAAAAGGTTGAGAACCACTGCTATAGAAGGAGGGAAGGCACTTTACCTTTAGGTTTGTGCACACAGCTGTTTATATTAAGCATCTCTATTTGCCAGCAGCCAGTAACTGAATTGCCTGAATACCTGCCCCATGCATTTGGTTCCAAACACATAGATTTGTGCCTTCTAATGTGTAGTGCAATGCTTAGGAAGTGGCAGGTACCGGAAGACCTGAAGTCTTGCCAGCAGAATATGGGGGAGACAAAAAGAAGACCCTGTTAATTGTATGTAGCCTGGGAGAAGGCATGATGGGGGCAAAGCAAAGGTTAGGACTTCAATGGTTTGCTTTTCACATCCCAAAGTACTAGTCAAAGCCTTAGAATGTGTAGAACGGAGGCTGTAAGGTGTGTATGTGTGTGTGGGGGGGGGATGGAATTAGGTGAGAAAAAGGTCTAAAACATGTAGAGTGTAAAGAGCACCTATCCTGACAGGACTGGAAGAGAATTTAAAACAACACACAAGAAAGGACACCAGGATGCAAAGATGGGGAACTAGGAGAAGACAGTCTGGAAAAATTAATGGGATGGGGAAAGAAGAGTATTCGTTGTTGAGCACAACAACTATGAGTCTCCTAGGAGTGTAACAATAAACCAAGGAAACCTGGAAGGAGCAGGACCTGACTGGTGGGAGCAGGGGAAAGGGGAAGCAAATGAAGATCCAAGAGGGAATTGGAGCGCAGGGTGGGGGTGCTAGGTGGAGCGGAGAGAGACGAGATGGAAGGTGAGGTGTGCATGCCAAGGTTTGGGGTGGGAGCAAGTATGAAAAGAACGACAGGAAGGGGGGATTATGGAGGGGCAATGGTGAGGGGAAGGAGGCAGGGCAGAAGGGAACTGAGCAGGAATTGCGAGATTCCCGGTGCAAGGAGGAGCCCGCGTGGAGCCTCTTCCCGGGGCTCGCACTCACCTGCCAGAGCAGCCCCGCAGGTGGTGATCAGGACGGCCACCGACACCCCGAGGGAGGGGACGCCGTTCTTGAGCACCAGGACGCCGATGAGGAGGGTGACGAGGGGCAGGCAGCGCTTGAAGACCACATACATGGGCAGGCTGAGCCCGCGCAGGGACCAGAGGGTGAGGCTGGACTGCAGCGTGGAGAGGACCGTGGCCCCGGCGAAGGCGCGCCCCAGGCTGAAGCTGAAGGGCGGCATTTCCAGGGCGCCCCGCCGCCGCAGCACCTCCAGACTGAGCGCCGCCGTGGAGCTGGTCAGGCACTGCAGCACCGTCAGGAAGGTGAAGTGGTAGCGGTTGAGGAGAAACTTCAGCAGGATGTTGAGCGAGCCGGAGAAAACCCCGTGCGCCACCGCCACGGAGATGCCCAACGCGCGGCCCCGGCACAGCTGCATGCTGCCCCACACGGCGGCTCCTGCCGTCGGCGCCCTGCTCCCGCCTCTGCCGGGCACGGGAAGGAGCCTCGGTCCTCTCCTGGCTGGCAGCCGCCGGGGGGGCGAGGGGGCTCCGCGCCTAAGCAGCCGCCGGAAAGAAGCGAGAGACAACTTTGCCGGCAACCCCCGAGCGCAGCGCGTGTCGGCGGAGAGGCAGCAGCTTGGAAGGGGGACGCTCGGCGATCAATCGTGGTGGGCGGCGGGGGAGGGGGGGGGCAGGATCCGCTGGGAAATGTCTCCGCAGCTTCGGCCACCGGCAGCCTACCAGATCCCCCAGCTGCTGTTGCTGACGCAGAGGGGGGGCTGGGTGCCCCGGCGCTTCCCATTACCTTAATGAAATGGGGACAATCGGAAGAGCGTTATTGGCCACGTTTCCCATTTGACCCGCTGAGATTGTTCTGGCTATTATGAATCACGGGTCTTGCTTTGTTCCTGGAAGAAAAAAGCAAGGAGAGGGGGGAGTGGAGCTGGATTAAAAGGTCCCAGGGTGGGGCGACCTCCTCTCTCCACGTGTTAAATAATAATTATTATTTTACTGCACAAACTCGTCGGTTGCTTTGCCTGTCTCGTCGGAACCAAACCACTCACCCGCGTTCGCCCTCCATCGCAGGAACGCGCGCACACGCAAACGGTTGCGAACAAAGCGAAAGCCGAGCTGGGAAACCCGGTTGATAGTTGATGCTTTTCCGCGCACAATTTGCTAATGGAATCGCCAACCGTCCTTATTAAATGGATTAGGGTTAGCGTTTTCCTATACGGAAATACAAATATTGATCCAGCCGAGTCTGGCCGGTTTTCTGCAAGCTAAAGAAACAGGTGCTTCGGAAGTAGCGGGGAGAGTTAACCCTTTCAGGGGAAGTAACCGGATTAGGCGCGGGCCAAACACGACCAAGGAAGGTACCCAAAGCGCGCGAGAAGGAAATCTTAACGGTGCTTTTATGCCTGCAGGATATTCTCTTTTTTTTTTTCCCCTCTCTCTCTTTCCAAACTACTCTTCGAAATAACTTCCCACTTAAAAGTGGGGAAAGGAGGGAAAGAAAGAGGCGAAAAAGGAAGAAACGGCTGCAAAGGGAGCGAGCAAAGATGAGTTGCCCTGAAGTGATGGGAAACAGCCGTATTCCAAAAGTAAAAGGAAGCGAATCACAGACAGGCGCGCTCCGGAGTCAGATATAACTTACATGGCTAGAAATAGCCTTCCTTCAGCAGCCATACTGGGAGGTTGGCAACATCTAGGACGGTACTGGGAGGTAGGCAACTGGGAGGTAGGCAACTGGGAGGTAGGCAACCTTGGCTCTTTTATGACTCGTGGACTTCAACTCCCAGAATTCCTGAGCCTACCCCTGATCTAGGAGGTTGGGAAAGGCTGGCCAAGCCACATGGAGCACCCCAGGCCCAGGCCCCATCCCCACAGAAATGGAGACACAGTTCCACCAGCCGCCTAAGAGATGGCTTTGGGCATGGACCCGCTGCCTTGACCAAGGGTCCCAGCCAAAGCCAGCTCTTCTGGAAGGAGAAGCTCGCGGGCCGACGTGGAATGGATCTAGAAGCCGAATGCGTGGCTACGGGCTTAGACGGCGAAGCTCTTCCTCGGGGCTTCAAAAGAAATCCTGCGCTTTTGCAACGCGTCGAACTGTTGCAAGCGCAATTCTTCGCCAACGGTCTGGAGCCCGGGGGACAACGCGCGGCCTGATCTTTCGCCTGTTTCCCGGGGTATTGCGCGGGGGGGGGGGGGGTTGGCTGCACAAGCAGATCAGGAGATCAAAGGTTAGTCTGGCAAGCCTAGCCTTGTGCTTCCAGCAGCCCAGTTTATGCTTCCTTGCGGGGAAGCTCGCAATTGAATTAGGCATATGGCAACAGTCCCTTCTTCTTGCCTACAAACTGGTCTTGGAAGGGCTACTGACTGAACTAGAGGCCTTCGTTCGTGATAGAGGAGCTCTTCTTTCACATCCTTATGGTCCTGCTTTCTTTGACAGCAAAGGGCAGAGGTCCAGTCACCTCCAAAGACTTTAACATCAGGGAGACAGTTGATCAAAGCAGCAGTTTTGGGGAAGAATCAATAGGGGTAATCCGTACAGATTTATTGGTGAAAGGACTTTTGGACACCAGCAGCGGGCTGGGCAGAGTCCAAAATGCTGTTCTATTCTGAGACCCGTTTTCCCACCCCCTTCTGACATTCCCTGGTCTGTTTTGTGCTGTCTCACAATGCCTCCTCGGCAGCAGGCAGGAGCAGGTCTCTCTTGCTATAAAGCTCTTGAATTCCTTTCTTGCAGAGAGCGTTAGGCAAGGTATTGGTTGCACATCCCTGCCCAAGAGATGGGCAGGTGTAAGGACAGTGGGAAGAGCCAGAGTTAGTATTCAGGGCAGACTTAGATGGGATTACACATACAGACAGACACACAAAACATATTGTCTCTTTCCACAATAAAATTAGAAACAGTTGACGAATCAAGCTGCATTTCCTTCTGGTGGTCCAGAGGCTACACTTAACACCTAAGGTGTGAAACTATATGGACTATTCCTTTCCCCTCCCCAATGATTGGTTGGTCCATTTTACTTCATTATTTGCCTATTCAAGAATTTAGAAGTAGGTGTGGAGAATAGAATGAAGGGGAAAAGGTGTGAAACTATATGGACTATTCCTCCCCCCCCCTCGATGATTGGTCCATTTTACTTCATTATTTGCCTCTTCAAGAATTTAGAAGTAGGTGTGGAGAATATAATGACAGCGGAAGGAAGGGGAAAAGGTTCGTACAGCAACCTTAGGATGTGTGGACTTCAACTCCCAGAATTCCTCAGCTAGCATGCTGGCTGGGAAATCCTGGGTGTCGAAGTCCACATATCTTAAAGGTTGCTGAGGCTGAGAAACTCTGATCTAAATTAACACAGGTGACAATCTAAAGGAGAACTCATAAAAGAACACAGCTCCTATAGATACCAATATACTTGTACAACCAACCAATTTCCATGCTGTACATGATTTTTGAAGACTTTTTTTTAAAAAAAAATAAAAGATAAACTCAATATTTAATAATGCTGCTTGGCTATTATATCCTGGAGACATTCTTAGGAAAAAAAAATGGCAAGAGAGTGTTTGTTTTGCATGGTGCTTGTGTGTCCAAAGGATGGTTGGTGACAGAGAGCATCCTAGGTTCTATATAGCTTGCTTTTTTATTTTTCATTTTGTTTTTATCCCCTTTAATATTTTTTTTTACAAAAAACTTTGGGTGGTGCGAGTATGCCTAACACTCCTTCTTTCTCCTATTTTCTCCACAACAATCCTGTGAGGTGGGTTGGGCTAAGAGAGGATAACTGGCCCAAGTTCATCCAGTTGGCTTTCATGCCTAAGTGTCCTGGGTTTCTAGCCTGCTCTATACCTGCTGCCCTCAGGGTGATGTACCAGGATACTGTCTCATTACCAACCCTATTTCTTACCTTTTTGCATAGTTTGGCTGACTCTCTGTGTTGATCCAGCTTCTGTCTCAGCAGCCAGGAAATACATAGCAGGAGAGCAGGATAATGGCCTAATTTCAATTAGAAGGTACAGCAGAGGTTCTGCAAAAGGTGGCTCCAAGGGCAGAAGTAAACGTCACAAACCAGCATTTTCCAAACCATGGACTATCATTCCTTGTAAACAGCAAAGCAATTAAGTGTGTGCCTATAGCAATTACACATTCAAGCTGAGAATCCTTGGATAGAATCCATGGGGATTTGACAATGGTAATTTATCATAAGATCTAGAACTTCATTTCTTGTCATTGCTGTTTGCTTCAATTGCCCCTTTAAGTTAATTAGCTAAATAAATAAATACATTAAAATTATATGGCCTCAACTTGCTCAAGTTCTTTTTTAATCCCATTTTCCTCCAAAAGGAAGGATTCTGATGTTATTGGATTTTTAAAGTCAAATTGTTTTTCACTGTTTTATTATAAATGAATTTCTAAATCTTATTAGCTATACATTTTTGGGGGGATTATTTGCTCCCATTTATTTTGCCTAGTTTGAGAGAAATACCTAAAGCATTTTCTGGATATCATGATTATGTCAGATTTTATAGTAATGTTGCAAATTATGAAGTGGAGGCGTATACAGCAGAAAGGAGATAACATCTTGAATGAAAACAGGACCCCATGATGCTAGCAAAATTGTTGCCGTTAAAATGCATTAAGGAGCCAAATGAAAGGTCTGCTAATCTTTTTTTATTCTGAAATCTGAATTTTATGGTGATCTTGAAGAAAGAAAATTAAACATAGAGGGCATGGTGGTCAAAAAAGCCTACTGTATATTCCTCCACTACTTTAGAACGGATTCAATAAAAGTCATATATATGCATTGAAGATCTTTATTGGGGCTGTAAGAAAAGATCATTCTTTTAAAGCAATGCTGACAAAATGTGAGGCAAGGATTGCCACTGTCAATCAGTCAATCATTTATAATGGCCATAGACCATTATAGATTGCCAGTCATTTCCCACCATTGTTCCTTTGCGATTCTTTTTTTTTCCCCCCTCTCATTCTTAGAGTTAGACCTGCAACAGCCTATTACAGTCTAGTGATTCTAATCAATCAGCCTGCCAGCCTTGCCCTTTTACAGGGGCCCAATTTTATCATCTCTCCAATCTGTATTCTGTGCTACTCAGATGCTAGGTTTTTTTTGTTTTTGTTTTGGATTTCCCTCTCCCTTTTTCGTGCGACCCACAGATCAGAAATAGAAAAATTTCTGGGGCAAATAATTTGCATTCCTAAGAGAAAACCAAATGTAGAGAAAATAGCACCTGCATTAAAGAGTTTTTACTTTCAGATAACAGAGGAGAGGGATGGATGCAACACTGTCTCCAGACTTGACTCGTTTCATTTTCAAAATAGCCCTCTACTGAATAGATATGCAGAGGTCAAAAAAAATCAAATCTATCCATAAAAAGGCATAAAGAAAATTCAGGGAGGAGGTTTTTGTCAGCACTACATCTTTCAGCACATACAGTACAAAGCTGTACAAGCGGTTCTCCCTATTTCACTCCTTCCCTGAATGAAGTCATTTAGCGAATGCTAAAGATGTGGATTGTGTGTGAAATAGGTGGAATATCTTTGTATTTTTTCCCCCCAAAGCAAGGCACTTTAACAGCGGATTTCTTCACCCAAGTCATTTCAATGTACTTAAAAGCAGAGCTGAGGACGGTGAATTTTCTGTGAAAATTAATCAACAAAGCAGTGACTAGCTAACAGAAAGAATTAGAGGGAATTTAGAGCTTGACATTAACTTGTAAGCACTGCTGAGAGTTCACTAAATGCACAAGCGTCAGTTTAAATTCCCACATAATGACTAAGCTTAAACTAAAAAAGGGGGGAGGCGAGTGGGGGAGAGAATCATATAACCCTCTTGAGCTCCCTGGAGGAAAGTCAGGAAATACACATTCTAAATGTACTTGCTTGGTTGCCTGCCTGAGTGGTAATCCTATAATAACTGGATGGCAGCAGGTTAGGGAAATGATAGGATCAGCAGGCAGTAACATCCTGGAAGAAATCAAGTCAACATGGGCATTAAGTCTTACCAACAAATAGTTGAGCAAATATATTCTAGTGCACTATGAACCAACATTAATCCCCTGAAGGGAGCTTGAAATATGGAGTTAACTGGATCATGGATTGTTTATTTAGGAGACCAAGATGCTATACCTTTGATCTTATAGATTGTTCAGTGACTGTTCATAATTTTGTTGTTAGTACTCCACCCTAAGAGGTAAATGAATTAATCCTCTAGGAACAGTAACTTCAGTCTGTGTTCACAATAATTAAAAAAAATCATACTGTGATAAACATTCAGAATAGTTCCATATAAATCTTCAGATTTTAATGGCATGCAGTGAGGAAAATAGGAAATAAGATTATAGACTTACAGGATTGACTTAAAATGCTATTTTTGAATGCTACTGAAAGATCTGGAGATACTGCAGTGAAACCTTAAAAGCTGCAGCATTAAAAAAGAAAAAAGAATGATGCTTGAAGAATTAAAAGTTGATTTACTGTAACTGCTGGTGAAATTATGTTGCAAGATGTTTGTAGTATAATTTTGTAAAATTATTTGTTAAAGTGATTAAGTCACTTAGTCTATAGCACGGGTGTCAAACTCGCCACGTCATGTGACGTGTTGCGACGAATCGCAATTTGTTTTGCATTGCCGGAGCTGGGGTGGACGAGGCCTCTGCATGATGCAACCGGCCCGCAGGCTGGCAGTTTGACACCCCTGGTCTATAGGGTTTAATCTTGACATTTTTGTTTTTCCAGTAATTTCATTAAATCTATTTTCTCTAATATCTTGTTTATACAATGTCCGTGAGAAAGAGATAAAAGGAAGTGGTATTAATACTGGAAATAGGTAGTTGTATTTTCAAAGTAGTGTATTTATTACTTTGAGCATTATAATAGCTACAGGCAATAGTTTTATTTCTCTATGCAATTTCTTGGGTGAAAAAATTTACAAGGGTTCATGATGCTTCAGTTTCCTGCAATCTTTTTTAAAACACAAAAGCATTTATTACATAAAATTTATACATAGTAATCAAATTTTTATGTTAGAGATCTGAAACTATTTTTTAAGAAAATTGTGCCTTTTTAATCCTTCCACGCATATTAACTATTTGCAGAATTTTGTTTCTAGTAATACTTATATTTTATCTATCCTTTATGACAATTATAAACAAAATGCGTTGGATGCTTGTAGGTCAAAAAATGAATCAGCAGTTAAACCAAGTCTACAAACAAATTGGTAATTCTTTTTTTATCTCGCTCCAAAATAATGAATTATTATTTGAAAACTTATATGGAAACTAAGCCATATCCCTCAATATGATGTGCCATTGGGGCAAAGGAGCATTTCTGAAAGGGTCAGGCAAAGAAAGATATAAGTATATATCAAGAATATATACTTTCATCAGGGTCACCTGTCCTAAGATGTGAAGGTCAACATAGTTGCTAAGAGTTGACACCAATTGATGGCAAATAATCAAAACCAAAAGTCGAACAAAGCAAGGAAAGTACAAGTCTCTACAGCAGTTAATATTTGTTGAAATTTGTTCCTAGGGATGAAAGGTTGTCAATCATAAGCACTCAGATTTAAAAATGTATATAAGTATTTAAAACAGCAAGCTCTCTCTGTGATTTGCAGAAACTGAGTAACAAGCTGCGTCATATGGTGAAAAATCTTGCCCCAGTGTTAAGAGGTCTGAAAATAAGGTCTCGCTGATCAATGCTACTATCTGGACAGGCACAGAATCTCAGCTCTACTCAACTCTACTTAATTCTATTCCAGACAAACTGGCTGTCCAGACAATTTCCCATTAACTTTATTCAAAGTGGCTAATGAGCAGCATAAAAGGTCACTACAGATGAAACTATGTACAAAATTGATGCTATTGTATACAGTACTGGTGGAGAGCAAAAAAATAGAGTTTGTTAAGGGAAGTCAAGAGTTCTGAAAATGTTGTGACTATTCTACTATTCTAACTAGTAGTCTACTAGTTACAATTGGCACAGATGTCAACTCACCAGTAGGCTACACATTTGGAATCCTGGACTTTTTCTTCATTTCTGACCAAGGAGATGACAGCCAATTTTACTCCCACATTTCTATCAATTATATTTTTAATGGACATGGTTGGTGAAATCTAGACTGCATTAATAGGGATGTACACAAATACACTGAAGCTCACTGCCATACTTCACGTAAGACTGGATTGAGCTCCAGAAAGCAGCACGTTCTTGTTAGGAGATGTTTGTTGACTTTCTACAACTTAGCATCTTCCAGGTGAGTTGTAGTATACTTTCCAATATCTTTGGTAAGCTGGCTGAGGGAAACTGTATTGGGAAGATCCTAACATAACTAGATGGTATCAGGTTGTCAGAAGCTGGTCAGTATAAACATTCACTTTTTGCATAGTACAAAAAAGAAAAATATGTAATGGATAACTTTTCAAAATAGTTTTGTTGACTGTTATAAGACATACTGTGACAATACTTAATCGGCGCTAAGTTTGCTCATTTGACAGATAGCTTTGTGGGGAGTTTAAATAATCTGTCATAACTTTTGAAACAGATAACTCTTAATTTTAATTATTCTCATTAATAAATATGCACAATGTTTAACATCACATAAAAATGGATTACTTTGTAACAAGTAAATGCTAAACGCAGAAAGTAACTATACCATTTAGATAACTGTTTTTTATCTTAGGCATTTTGGCCCTTCCTTCTAATTTGTTTGGATTCTGGCCTTAAGATCCTGTTCATTTTTTCCTTCAGGAGCTGGTAATTTTAATGCAATCATAGTTTAATTCAAAATAACAGAATCCCAAAATGTATTAAATTTGTTCAAGAAGGCGATTATAGAATTTGTCTTGCAAGCAAAAACGAAGATAAAACTCAGATTATATAACCATCAATTGTGTAACTATGTGCCATATTATAATACATTATTGCAGAGAAATTCCATAATGAACTCAGTTCAATGCTGCTACACTGTTTTATGATAAATTCTACATCTCAACAATGAGAATACTTAAACTGCAATAAAATTTGTATTTTAATTCTTCTAGATATAAGACACAGTTTCTACACTGTATCTAATATTTACAATAGGAATACTGTTGTAAATGCTGTTGTAAAAATTCCAGATGTCTTGGAATACAATTTCTACTCTTGACAATGATCATGCTATTTGGACTGTTAAAAGCGAGAGACCAAAACATTTGGAAGTTACTAGGTTGCCTGTTCATAATTTACATAATTGTTGTATATTCTGTACATAGCGTGTAATCATTTTGCTCATTCGGTCCAGGTTCAGTGCAAGATGTTATATGAATCTGTCCTTAATCACATGTTTGAAACTTTGAAGCTCATATTAAAATCTAATATTGTTAGTAAGGCATAATATGGCAGATGCCCAAGAAAAATAAAAACAATTTCTTCTAAATCAGTTCTTTGCAACTGAGAAATCTTTCTATGCAGGAACTACCAACGAAGATGGATAATAGACCTTCACAGTTTCATCCCAAGCGCAGTCAGCCACCTATGGAGAACAAACACAATTTAGGACAAGAAATAATATGTATCAAAAAAATAGTCATGTAATATAATTTATATATTTGCGCTGGTAATTTTGCCCCTGCAATACTACTAAGTATAAAGCCAACATATATAAATAAAGTTTAAAACATCAATTTTGGGTTAAAAAATAACAAAATAACATTCTAAATATTTTCATTTCATTTTCATCAATGCCCTTTAAAAATAAAACTAACAATACATAGTCAAGTGGTCCAAACAGGTAAAAAATTTAAGTTTACTTAGGTGAGACATATTGAATACTAAAGAAGATTTTCCAGAAATTGATTTCACTACTTTATAGTACACAGTGATGAAGATTTAATCATATTTATTAGTATCAGTGAACTTTTAACAGTTCACTACTTTATAGTACACAGTGATGAAGATTTAATCATATTTATTAGTATCAGTGAACTTTTAACAGTTTGTAAATGTATTTAATAATATTTTAAAATAAATAAAAATAAATGTAAGCTTACAATTTATATTACTTTATTCCAAAGTAAATTAAAATTAGTTTCAGGGAAAAAGTACTGCTTAAAAAAGAGCACAAAATACATTAAATCTGCAATTAAGCTTCTGTAGCAAAGCATTAGAATATAATAACAGCATAAAAAGACATATAGATATATAACAGCATAAGGATGAGCATATAAATTAAGATTTTTAAAAAAAAACCTTGTAGTTTGATCAAGTTAATTATAACTTAACTATAAATGGATCTATATGTGTCAAAAGGTGTTTCAACATTTTAATTCAACATTAACAAAACCTGCAATAATTGTAACCGTGCATTATATTATTCTAAACCCAAACTAACTTCCCACTTTATTTACATATTCAAAAGTACAAAAGACTTTATTTTCACTGAACTTCTATTCAATTAGTTGCAGTTTGCTGAGAAAAAAGGTTCAATATTAATACTTAAATAACTGTGTGATGCAGCCTATCCAGCTTTCTATTCACGATTTCTTTTCCTGATCAACTGATAGCTCTATAATGATCATTCACAGTAGACTACACCTGTCTGTACACAATGTATTTAGAGTTCACAAAACAAACACTCGACTGCCAAGAGGAGACAATAAATAAAATACCATCTGCAAAATCCCTGGGGAATTTCCACCTGAGATTGTCTTAATTAGCATCACATAGCAATTTCTGAATATTAAGCATAGTAATCATTATTTCAACCAATCTTAGGAAAAGCAAACACAATTTACAGAAGGTTGGCTGATGAAAATCTTTTGCTTTAATTCAGTCTAGATTTGTTACTGATAGTACATGAAAAAATATACATGTAACTAGGAAAAAAATAGCAAATAAAAGATAAATTACTTTGATAAATTATGTCAATATTCTGTGAACTCTTGAAATCTAATCATCGACCAATCCCTAGAAGATTGCTTTTTTCTGTTCAACTTTGTCCAGTCTTCAGAGACTAGAGACAATTTTTCTGAAGAGGTTTGCCACGGCCTCCTTCCTCGGGCTGAGAGAAAGTGACAGACCCAAACTCACCCAGCGGGCTTTGTACCCAAGGCATGGTCAGCACCCATGTCTATGGAGATTCTCAGTCATCCAGATTAGTTATCCCAAAGATGCTTTTTCTTTTTCACGAGCATCTGGACCTTCTTGTCCAGTTGACATACATATATGGACTCCCCAAAATCCACAAAGAAGGAACACACCAAGAAAAAGAAAAAGCATCTTTGGGCCAGTACTCATGGTTTCCTAGTTTCCTGCCTGATGTTGTGATTCCTCACCAGCCAGTGGATCCTGAGTCTGAGGAATCAGATGAGGAGGAGGGGCCTGGAGTGACATTAGAGTCAGAGGAATGCTCTGAGGAGCTCCAAGATTTACAGTCGGATGAGGAGCCTGACCCCTCTACTCGCGCTCAGGCTGAGACATAGCTGTGCTGGGAGACTGAGTTGGACAATGATGAAGAACAGTTGGGACAAATCCAGGATGCATGAAAGCGCAGGCAAGAGAAGTGAATAGGACAGAGGAATGCAATGAGGCAGCTCCAAAGGCAAAGGAGAAGGCATTAGGAAACCACACCTTGGCTGAATTATAAAAGGGAAGGTATGGGAGGATCACGTTGAGGATTGAGTTTCTGTGGACTGTGTTTGTTTGCCTTGGACATTGATTCAGGTCTGTGAGAAAAAAAGGGGTTGGTTTTTTCTTGCGGTTCCTGCCTATTTCTTGGAAAAGGGGTTTCTCCTTGTGAGCATAACAAGGACTCACGTAGGCTGGGACAAAACACCTGATGCCTTAACCACTATACCAAAATGGCTCTCATAGATTGATTTGAAAGATCCCTAAAAGATTTTATATTACCCACATAGCACAAAACCTGGATCTCACTCATCATCTTTAAACATGAACAATTTAATTTAAATTATGTTATCAAGTGTCCTAATTAAAACCTTATCATTATATTAGCAAAACTACCTGGATCTAACATATTTGATAAACACATATTTCCTTTTCCATGTGAGAGAAATACAGTCTTATAACTTCCACTTCAGAGAATGAAAGCAGAAGCAGAACATTAGACTTTGGAAAAACTGCCCTTCATTCTAAAAAATACTTGAGGACAACCAGAGCTATACAAACATTTGCTTCTGGTACTGATGTTCATCAGCCATAAAATATGATTATGCACTATTTTCTGCTGTGTAGTCTTTAGCTACTTTTCTTTGTCTGGATAGAATAAATTAGATTACTTGAAGTATGGACTGAGGATTCTGAGCTGTTTCAGATTCCTGTCTTAGGATTGTCAGTCATGATTTTACTCCTCCCCAGTCTTGAATTTTAAATTAGTTAAGTCTAACTTGTTCTATCTTCCTGGGCTCCAAGATCACCACAGATGGGGACTGCAGCCAAGAAATTAAAAGACGCTTGCTCCTGGGGAGGAAAGCTATGGCAAATCTAGACAGCATACTAAAAAGCAGAGACATCACCCTGCCAACAAAAGTACATATAGTCAAGGCCATGGTTTTCCCAGTTGCAATGTATGGCTGTGAAAGTTGGACCATAAGAAAGGCTGAGCGCAAAAGAATTGAGGCCTTTGAACTATGGTGCTGGAGAAGACTCCTGCGGATCCCCTGGACTGCAAGGCGATCAAACAGATCAGTCCTAGAGGAGATCAACCCTGACTGCTCTTTAGAAGGCCAGATCCTGAAGTTGAAACTCAAGTACTTTGGCCACCTAATGAGAAGGAAGGACTCACTGGAGAAGAGCCTAATGCTGGGAAAGATTGAGGGCAATAGAAAAAGGGGATGGACAGAGAATGAGGTGGCTGGATGGAGTCACTGAAGCAGTAGGCGTGAGCTTAAATGGACTCCAGAAGATGGTAGAGGACAGGAAGGCTTGGAGGAACGTTGTCCATGGGGTCGGACACGAGTTCGCAACTAACAACAACAACAAACTTGTTTCATTTTGATGAAACTTATTCATGACTAACTTTAGCTGGCAGTGTTAATACTTCTATAGTAAGGAACGTTTACCTGAGAGCAAGGATGGTTCAGCAGGTTTACAAATATAATAAACTCAGAACAAAAAAACATTGTGGTTAGGTCTACTGTGGTATGTCCTAACAAATAAAGAAACCACAATATTTTTTAATGTGTTGTTCTGGCTCATCCAATATACTAATGCAAAGACTGGATCCCCTTCCATACACTGAATCGCTAACTATTCAGCATCATTACTATATAACCTACTTTATCTACAAACCAGTTTTCAAGCCCTTCAGCAGGTAGGAAGGAACTGATTAGAAGGCAGGCAGTTTCAGTGAAGAGAGTAATTAAGCCATTATATGACTTAACTACATGAACTTCTAAATAACATTCAGAATTTACAATTACTAATCAGCTGTTAAAAGGATAAAACAACTGATTAATAGATTGCTAATGTTTCAGAAATTGTGGTTTGCTTAACAAATTATTATAAATTAATTGACTTTGCATTGCATAATTACAATGCATCAGGGACTTTTTAACTGATCAGCATATTATATATGGCTATCATAAATCTATTTTATTTCTATTTTTTTTAATTAGGTAACACAGGAACATGTTAAATTATACACCACTAGCTAGGTTTTGCAGAGCTTTCCATAGATATCTTTCATATATTGTGATTCTATAAATTGCTTTTGTTTTGCTTCAAGGGCTGTTTAGTATATTTTTCCACATGTGCCATAGTGCAAATGCAGCCTGTGAATGAGGCCAATTTAAGTAGATTTAATATTATTGTGCAAAGTGGCAAAATCACGTCTCCAACTTTCTCCAGTTATAATTTCTACATATTTGTCTAAGACAATTGTGAAGTATGTCCATAGACATATGTTTTAAATTATAGTTAAATTTTGGCTTTTATATATTTGTTTTAAAACACATTAAAGATTTGGGGATCTGTACATTCTTCAGAGTAGAGCAGCCTATAAGTCCTGCAGATAAATAGAATTGCAACTGAAATATACCCAACATAACTGGAGCAAAATGTTAAGCTATAAAGGGGTTTAATTGGCTATTCTTGCAATACCATGGGTCCATACTCATTATGTTCACTGTTTTTGGTCTACCTCTTACTCTGTGTGTGTGAATGTGTATGTGTGTGTGTGTGTCTGAGTGTGTGTGTGTGTGTGTCTGAGAGAGAGAGAGAGAAGAGAAGAGAAGAGAAGAGAAGAGAAGAGAATATGAGAGATTTTCTCCAAGACTGCTGATAGTTGAACAACATGCATGAGTGATACCATTTTGACTTTATAAGTTTCTTTCTCAAATTGCCTCTTCATATAAAATAAACAAAAGCTTGTCCAAGGCTAAACATGGTAACGAAACTAAACCCAATGAGATGCAGATGCATTATCTTTTTTCCTCCCATCACTCACTGAACAAAAGCAGCAAGAAAGGTGCTAAAAATGAGTATATTACACATTTTCAGAGTAATTCCTCTCTC